ACCAGCAATTTCCTCATTTTCTTGCTCTCTTATATCATCATCAACAAATTCATTATCAGACGAAAGTATACCTGTTTTCATCCAACAATTATGAATAGTTATTGGAGTAATATTATTTCAAGCCTCAGCAATATAATTTATTGCTTCTTTAATATTTAACTTATTATTAAATAAATAAATAAAATTAATTTATTATATTTTATTAAAATAAAAAAAAATAATTATAGATTTTTATAACTTACTTTATATGATTTATCCTAGAATCAAATTTACGAATTAGATCTCTACAAAACTCTTATTTATACTTTACTTTAAAGCTATGGATAATACTAGCATCTATAGGTTGCAAATGCGCAGTAGTATTTGGGAAAGGTAAATAAGTTTAATATTTGTAAGAGTAATATCAGGTGTTATTTTTACTTTTTTTTTTGTTTTTTTGTTTTTTATTCTTTGATTTTCCTAACTAGATCTTTCCTCATCATTAGATTCAGTTTCAGTAGTATTGTTCTCTTCAAAAACTTTTGGATTAAAATGAGAAAATAATAATCTAAATCTTTTATCCATTCAACAAATATATCAGATCTCATCCATGCTTTAGAATTAGCTCGATAAGTAACAGGAAGTGTTGATTTATTAAGATTTCTAAAACATCAGGGATTAAAAGATTTTCCAATTACAAGAGGATGAAGCTTATGAGAACCTGTTGCATTTGCACAAAAAAGTATAGATATCTGGGTTTTATCCTATAAAATTAATTAAATAAAATTTATTTAAAAAATTTATAACTAATAAAATTTTTAAAGTTTATTAAAAATAAATCTCACTTTCTTATGACCCGCTATAGCTCCTGTACTAAGTGTTTGGTTTGTTTGGCTCCATTTGAAAAAAACTAGTGTTATTATGAGACATTTTTGGGACATGACCTGAGACATTGGAACTTAATGTGAAACATTTTGGGATATAGTGTAGGACAGTCTCAAAATATTTGGGATATTAAAAATGGCTGCAACTACTTGAGATATCTAAATTTGTAATATTTTATCAAGTTCAGAAAATTGTGTAACACGATGATGAAATTTATGTAAATTTTGTAAACTTGACAAAACAACTAGCTATTTTTCGTGCTCTTGCCATATTTTTGTAATAGTGATTCTATTAATATTTTTACCACTATATTTTTCATTAAAATATAATGCAACAGCACCTTGTTTTACATGAGGATTAGCTGACATATATTCACATATTTCTTTTTTTATATTAATACTGATAGAGGTACGAGTTCTTTTTGATTTATTGAAATTAGTTAAAAACATTATAAAAAAGAGTATAAAGAATGTAAAATGTATTTTTATTAAAAATATTCAATTTTTTAAAAAGTAAAAGTTGGAAAAAAAAAATTAAAAGATTTTTTTTAAAAAAAGATATATTATAAGATTATCAACCCAAATTAATCCAAAGAAGATAAAATGCGTATATCATTTTTTTTATTAACCAAAAATATAAAACACATATAATATTTTTAGTTATATTATCTACATCTTATCACATGATAATGTGACTATATAAAGGGAAATTTTATTATATTAACTAATTATACCAGTTTAATAATTGGTGTGATAGTGATTATAATTAATATGTGATTATAAAGAGGATATTTATATTTTAAAAAAATCAGAACTAAAATATAGTGTGCTTATAAAGAGGATGTGATTATATAAGTTGTGATTGTAAAGAGGGTCGACTGTATATTTTTCTTAGTAAAAAAGGCATTTTTGAAGCTGTGGTAGCACTTTTTGCTATAGTTTTCTTAGTAAAAAAGGTATTTTCGAAGCTGTGGAGACACTTTTTACTATGGTTTTCTTAGTAAAAAGGCAGTTCAAAGTCGCGGAGGCATTTTTTGTTACATATTTCTTAGTAAAAAAGGTATTTCTGAAGCTGCGAAGGCACTTTTTACTATGGTTTTTTAGTAAGAGCTGCTCCTAAAGCTTTGGAGATAGCTTTACTATTTATTTAAATCAAATTAAATATTTGAATATTTGATTTGAATTTGATCGAATCGAATCAAACATTAATTTAGATTTGATCAAATAAATCATTCTTTGATTTGAATTTGATCGAATCAAATCAAATATAAATTTGAATTTGTATTTGATTTGATTTTCAAATCAAATATTCAAATATCAAATTGAATTACAGAACCCTACCTCTAACATTTTTATAACAAAAGTTACCCAATAGTTCAAATGTAACTTTATTATTATTTTTTATAATAAAAGTCACTTATAACAGTTTAGATATGATTTTTATTAGTATTTTTTTTTTAATAAAAGTTGTATTTGAGCTTTAAAAATAATTTTATAATATTTTTCTAAATAAAAGTTATTTCTGACAGTTAGATATGATTTTTATTAATATTTTTTATAATAAATACCTAATAATTTAGATGTGATTTTATTACTATTTTATTTTATAATAGTCAATTCTAACAATTTAGATGTAACTTTTATTATTATTTATTATAATAAAAATCATTTCTAACAGTTCAGATGTGATTTTTATTATTATTTTTCCTAATAAAAATCACCTTCAAAAGTTTGGATGCAACTTTTATTATTATTATTTTTATAATAAAAGTCATACCTAAACTATCAAAATCAAATTTATTAGTATTTTTCCTAATAAAATCACTTCTGATAATTCAGGTTTTACTTTTATTAGATTTTTTTTAATAAGGATCTATAAGAATTTTTAATAAATAAAAATAAATAAAAATAGAATTAATTTACAATTTATATTACTATAATATATATAATGTTAAGAAAAAATTATATAAAAGATAAAATTATTTCATAATTTATAAAGATCATTTTTATTATAAATAGTCAGATTTAGTTAATTGTTTTTTAAATAATCTTTGTAAGCAAACCAAAAATTCAATAAAAAAGAAATTATTATTAATCTTACAATTTGTTTGTATAATTAAAATGAGAAATCTTTATACTCTTTAGCTTAAAAACTTGCTATAGAATAAACACTCACAGTTTAAGTAATTTATAAAAATCATATTTTTTATTAAAAAAACTCTGTTACAAAGAATTAAAGTCAAATATTATGCAACCATTTTTGTTCTATCCAATCAAATTTTAGTATATATATATTTTTTTTTACATGCATTTTATAATTTATATCACATGATATCAGACACCGATAATTGTTTATTGTCACATCACATGTCATGGTTGTTAATCCAACACGCGTTCGTCATCGATAAATCAATGCTAATACATTACAAATCATTTCGTGTTTATTATGGCAGATGAAGCATTTGAAAGCCAGTTATTACCCAAGAGGGGACGGGGACGACCAAAAGGCGTCAGAGGTACAGTTCGGCCTAGGACAACTCGAGGGAAAACTCGAGGTAGAGGCAGGGGCAGATCTACTGAGGATGAAGATTTAATTTCAATAGAAATAAATAAAACTCTTGAACAAGCGGGACTACATTCGTCGGATATTAATATGAATTTGGAAGCAGAAATAAATCAACCAACGTCTCCATACTTGAGCAGAGCACCTTCTCCTACTCCATCATTTGCATCAATTTCGAGTGGTAGACGACTTGGTTCTTTATCACATGATCTTCCAGCTCCTGGAAGATTGGCTTCGGTTAGAACGGCACCAACTGGACATTACTTTCTATCAACATCTTCAAGAGTAACATTACGTGGAACACAAAAGAAAATATTTGTTCCGACAATACCTGAAGCACATAGAAGACCTCAACCGTAAGTACTATTAAATTAAATCATGTTTAAATTTTTACTAATGACTTTCAAATTTTTTAAAGAACGATAGCTGCCGACGCAATTACTCCTGAATTATTTGATATAGGGGTGAGCAATTTATTTTTTCTCGACCTTATGATGAAAGATAACTCTTAAATAGTTTATCATGTTCTTCTAGGATAATGAACCGTTCACATCTGGTACAGATTCAAGAGGACGAGGAACAGATCGAGAAAGAGGTACATCAACATGTTATAATATATGAAATTAAACATAATCGGTTTATGATGTTATTCATTATATTAGGAGCTCGTGGACGCGGCAGATTTGTGCCAGATATGGTTGCATCTGGACCGTTTGCATTTGGCTCAAATGCTAATTTCCAGCCATGTAAGATATAGTTAATATTAATATATCATCCTTGAGTATTTTGGATAACGAAAAGTGATAATCACTATTTCTCAATCCTCAAGTGGACACCACGAACGTCTTTAGCACTTCTGTTATTGAAGAAAGGAAAAGTAGAACAGATTATGCTGAGGATTTTGAATCGTTCCGAGAAGATCCTTGGGCACCAGATATACTTTTAGTTGAACATGAAAGAGAGGACACTGCTGGTATATTAGAAGGTAAGGTTACTAATGAACATCTGTACAATATATAGTTTATTTCTATTAGCAATTCTTCAGTTGTAGCATTATAGAGTCAATGGACTCGTGATTTTCGTTGATTTTAGAAAGAGATAGAAACCGAAGTCGACGAACTTTCTTTTCTTTTTATCCATTAGGCAAGGATGTAATTGACAATGAAAAATCGAAAGAAATTAAAAGAAAAATGATACAATTTGTTGAAGAAGTAAGTGCAATAATTTTTTAATTTTATAAATGTTTTAAATTTTCGAGATTTATATATTTTATTTTAGGAAAATCATCTATTATGTTTTCAATTGCCTACCGTCTTACCTGAGTTTGAACCATCTAAACGTCCAAGGATGAATGGTCCGAACGATAGGTCGTCCCATCTTGATAAAGGAAAGGGTAGAGCTACCGATAAACTAGGACCTGGTCCACCCGTAATGCCATCTTCAGTAAAGGAGAAGGGTAAGAGTAAAGAAAGAGAACAAGATAATTCTGAGGATGCCGTCAATGGTAATAATAAGCCAGAGGGCCAGATAGGGCGACTAATCGTGCGTAGATCTGGTAAAATGCAAATGATTTTTGGGGACTTTACATTTGATGTAAGAAAATTTTATTATAAAACATGATTTATGTTTGTTAGTTAACTAAATCTAACGTCTTTTTAAAATTTATTGTAGGTCACGGCTGGTTTGAATCGGACATTTTTGGAGAATGCTGTAGTGATTGATTCTTCTCAAGAAAGTGTTTTCAATTTAGGACAAATCACGCAACACTTGGTTGTGAAACCGAACATTTCAAGTTTATTGAATAATATGTAACAATTTACGTTTTTACGTTTTAAATCGATCGAATACATGATTAATTTAATATTTATTTATTAAGAAAAAAACAAATTTTGGTAGTAATAATTTGTAAATAGACGTTTTTATATCTAATTATCATTTTCTTTATTTGTTTAAAAAAATTAGTTAACTAAATAATGTAGTTTGTTTTAATAGATTTTACTTTAATTGCAGAAAATTTATTTCAAAACTATCACGTGACTGTTCCAAAGAAATGATCGTCTGACATTTTACTGCAGATAATACATCATTATTTGCAAAAAAAAAAAAAAAAAAAAAAGCGAAAAACACAAATAAAAAAATTTATCTACAACAAAAGAGCGATACAAGTCCCCCCATATTCCGCGAAATTTATACCGCGGGAACGAATATTTTGAAAAAATTTACAATTAATAATGATATTTACCCAAACTAAAATTATAACAAAAGTAATTATATTTACACAAAGTACGTTTGGTACGCATTAAACATTAGTAACAATGAATGTTCATCAAAGAAAAAAAATGATAAAAACGATTTTTTTTGTCGCTAATTCACACCACTTTTCTTAAATGCGCACTTAAATATTTTTTTTTTTTTGAGTCGTGCAGATAACAGAAGCAAAACTGAATGGCGACTTTACAAAAAAGACGTAACGGAAGACGAAATAACCAAGACGAAACACCAAACAAATTAAAGAAGAAAAGTTCTAAAGTACCTGAACAAAATGTGGATACTCAAGACGTAACTCCGGTATCAAATGTCGTTATGCCAGCGGATATCGAGGAAAAATTTAAACCAATAAACAATGGAATTTCTTCTTCGCCACCATCAACACAAACTGAGCAAGCTACATCCCCAGCGGTAACTCCAAACAAAAAGAATAATACACCAAAAAAACGAAAAGTTAGCAAACCATCACCTGTAGAAGAGGAAACGGTAGAAGATAAGCCGGAAACTATATCATTAGATCAAACTGTGATAGAAGAAAGGGAGCAACCAGTTTTATCGATTAAGAAAGAAAAAGACACTTCTGTTCGAAAACGTAATAGAATTTTACCTCAAAGGGGGAAAAAACTTAATAGTGATACGCAATTACCACCAACTCAATTACAAACAACCACGCAACTGCAAAACGAAATACCGCAAGTACGACCACTACCACCACCATCTTCACAACCTCTATTAGAGATACAAAAACCTCAAAAAACGAGGGGTCCTTCAACTCCGAAGCGAAAAGTTAAAGCTCCAGTATTTACAGTATCAGTAGTTACGGAGAAGGATGATCAAAAATCCTCCAACAATGCTGTTCCTATAATTCCAACTGATGAATCTAATACCTCTAAACCTAAAGAAGTAGTTGTTAAAGAAGAACCTAAAGAAATTAATGAAATTGTAACGCAAAAAAAACCACCGAGAATAGTAATTAAACCAAAAAGAAAAAGGATAATCAAAAGCAAGGAAACCATATCTAGTGAGGATGAAGTTTTGGAAGAAGAACCTGTTATTCCAAATAAGATTATGAAAGCACCAACAATTAGTGAATCATTAGGATCATTAAATTCTCAACCTAAATCATCAAAGAAACGAGGTAATGCAAATGGTATAGACACTAATAAAGACTCGGCTGTAAAATCTCGTGTTACTAGACAACGAACAAAAACAACAAATAAGGTGAAGACAGGTAGAGGTCGAAGGAAATTAATTAGATTAGGCGATGATGAAATTGAAAGGGACCTATCCAAATTTTCTGATGCAGAGACTATTAAGAATGAAACAGATGAAAAATTGGATCAATTGATAAATCAAATCTCTGAAAATAGACAAAAAGTATATAGTGGTGAACAAGAACGGGAGCAAGCTGGTGTCATCATTGATTTGCCCTTTGGTGGTAAATTAACAGCAGAAGAAGCGGATACATCGAAGACGCGTCCCGATCTTTATGACAAATTGAGATTCGAGAATGCTAAAAACAAGGCTGAAGCTGTATGTATTTATTATATATATAGTAGACCGATATTTCAATAAGTACATGTATATATATAAATACATTTTTTTTTTATTTTATCTTCAGGCTATGCAACCAAGACAAGAAATTACCTTTGACATAGAAGATCAGCCTCAAATATTCGCTGATGCTACTCCAAAAATAAGATCAATCAGATTTGGTGATTGGGAAATGGATACATGGTACGTAGCTCCTTATCCCGAGGAATACAGTTGGTATCCAACGCTTTATATTTGTGAATATTGCTTGAAATATATGAAGAGCAAATATATTGCAGATCGACATAAGGTTCGTTATTTTATCATTATTCATTTATTTTGTTCAAACCACATCTCATTTCATTAATAAATTTAGATGAAATGTCCGATGAAACATCCGCCTGGTGACGAAATTTATCGAGATGGACAAATCTCGATCTTTGAAGTCGACGGACGTAAAAATACTGTAACGATTTAAATTTATAATATATGATTCTAATAGATTCTATCATTTGTAGAATTTCATATATTGATCAATATCTAATTTTCGTAGATCTATTGTCAAAATTTATGTCTTTTGGCTAAAATGTTTTTGGATCACAAGACACTTTATTATGATGTAGAACCGTTCTTGTTTTATGTTATGACCGAAATTAATGATATGGGATGTCATTTTGTGGGGTACTTTTCTAAGGTTTGTAAATAACAGAATGCTAAATACATCAAAATATTTTTTTAATATTATATACATCATTACCTATGGTGTTATAGGAAAAACGTTCCCCTTTGAACTATAACGTGTCATGTATTTTAACATTACCCATTCATCAGCGAAAAGGATATGGAAATTTACTAATTGAATTTAGTAAGTTTTAAAATTTTTTTGGGATATAATTTGCAGAAATTCATCTATAAGCTTTCATTTTTTATAGGTTACCTTTTAACAAAAAGGGAAAACAAAACAGGATCACCAGAGAAACCTTTATCTGATCTTGGTCTTCTCAGTTATCGTTATTATTGGCGCAACGTACTTTTCGAAGTGCTCAATAATTCACCAGATGCTCTTAGTATCGAAGGTATATATAATATCAATCTTCTTCGAAATATAAGAATCATATTAATTTGGCACTTGTATATTCAGAGCTAAGTCGTGTAACAAGTATGACAGTTAACGATATCATAGCCACCCTTCAGATTAACAATATGTTGGTGAGAGATGAAGAAAATGGCACATATAGGATCGTTGTTGACAAAGACTTAATTAAGAATCATCTTGATAAGGTGACATCTAAAGGGTATCCAAGAATAAAATCAGAAAATCTTCGATGGACACCATTTATTTTAACAAGAGTCTTGCGAAGAGTACAGGATCTTGAAAATGAAAGGAGCTTGGATATGCATGAACAACAGAATCCAATTGATCATATTAATAAATCATTGGATGAAAATATGGATGCCGATGATTAATAATAACTGTTGTAATTAAAATACATTATAAATAATATAAATATTATAAATATAGCAATACTCACTTTAATAATTTTAGAAATTGGATTAAAAAAAAAAAATTTTTGTACATAAAAAAAAAATATCTAAAAATTATAGTAATTTCTTTTTGATTGAATAATCCAATAAAAAAAAAAAAATTGGTGTGAATCTTTTTATTGAACTATTTTCCAATTTTGTTAAATCATCAAATGATCATTTTACTTGGAAATTAATAAAAAGAAAATGAGAATTGGGATCACATTGTTTTTGATGTGTCAGCCTGTTGTGAACACAAGTCCGCAGGTATCATGTTGTTTGTATTTTTGATATTGCGTCATGTAATAACGGACGAATGGTAGAGCAAAGCAAAACTTATAACAAATTCTTGTTATAATGTATTTATAGCAGATATTTAAAGAAAAAATTTTCTTGATATTATAGAAGTTTGTAAATAAACATAATTGTTTTACTTTTTTTTTCTTTTTTCTTTTTTGAATTACTTGTTAAGCATAGAAATTTTATCAAAATTCCTTCTGGCGTCATCCATCTTGTGTGATTTTAACTAAATTCTCACTGGCCAGCAAAATGACGTCTTTTACTAGTGTGGCTCGCATGTATGCGAATATTAATCAGACTATGCCCCGAGACTATTGGGATTATGGTATTTCAATGAAAATCAGTTATTCTCTTTGTTTGGTTATTATTACTTTATTAACCTCTAATCTTTATATTAGATAATTTACAAGTTCAATGGGGGTAATGTGTACTGTTAATTTGTCACAAATATCTTTTCATTGGGAGAATTCTTAGTTAAATTATAATTAACTTAAAAAGTGATTTATTGTCTTCTTCAAAAGCTGAATATTTAAATATAAAATTTTTTATTTTAAAAACTTCCTTTTGTTCAAATTTAGTGTACAAGATAATTACGAAATAGTACGTAAAATCGGCCGTGGGAAATATTCCGAGGTTTTTGAAGGAGTCAATATTATGAATAATGAAAAGTGTGTAATTAAAGTTCTTAAACCAGTAAAGAAGAAAAAAATCAAAAGAGAAATTAAGATCTTACAAAACTTGGCTGGTGGTCCAAACATTATTTCGCTTTTGGACGTAGTAAGAGATCCTCAGGTAAATTTTGATATTAAAAAATAATACATGTTAGGTGTTTTAAAAGAAGAAAACAATTGTGGTGGGTTTTTGATTTTATAGTTAATGGGAGTATTGACAAATTGAACTTTTAAAATGCTTGATTTTGTTGTATATAACGTTTAAGCTGGATGAAAACATATGTTTAAGTACTTTCTAAATCCTTTGTCTTTAACCTTTCTTTTCCATCATATCAATTAGTCCAAAACACCATCACTTATTTTTGAATATGTAAATAATACAGACTTTAAAGTATTATACCCCAAGTTCACCGACTACGATGTTCGTTATTATATTTATGAGCTTCTTAAGGTACAAGTAGTTATATATTTGATGTTTTACAATGATCATTTATTGGCGTTTTTATTTCATTGTTGTATTTTTTTTTTTCAAATTTGTAACAGGCATTGGACTTCTGTCACTCAAAAGGTATTATGCACAGGGACGTAAAGCCACATAATGTCATGATTGATCACGAGAAACGAAAGGTAAGTATTTTTTATGAAATGTTTACAAGTATCAAATACTTTACTAATAATTCATTATAATTGTATCATAGCTAAGATTGATAGATTGGGGATTGGCAGAATTTTATCATCCAGGAACTGAATATAATGTGCGTGTTGCTTCTAGATATTTCAAAGGACCTGAATTGTTGGTTGATTTTCAAGAATATGATTATTCTCTTGACATGTGGAGTTTGGGATGTATGTTTGCTAGTATGGTAAACATTATTTTCTTATTTTGAATGCCATAATATTATTATCATTATTTATTTGAATCTAAATACACTGGCTTTTGCAGATTTTCCGTAAAGAACCTTTTTTCCATGGTCATGATAATTATGATCAATTGGTGAAAATTGCTAAAGTTCTTGGTACGGATGAGCTTTTTGCATACCTTGATAAATATGATATAGAATTGGATGCCCAATATGATGATATTTTAGGAAGGTAAATAATATATATATATATATATTATCAACCCATTGATTATTGCAATTGATTTTGTACCTTTTCCAATCCTTTTGTTCTTTTTAATATTATTATTAATTATTATTATTATAAAAAAAAGATATCCACGGAAAGCATGGAATAAATTCGTTACGAATGAGAATCAAAAATTTGTTACTAAAGAAGCCATTGACTTCCTTGACAAGCTGTTAAGATATGATCATCAGGTTATGAAACTTCTATTTCGTAAAAAAATTTAAAAAATTCTTAAAGTTCCTACCTAATATTTATTTGCATAATAGGAGCGATTAACACCTCAAGAAGCGATGGAACATCCATATTTTGGTAATTATTATTTGAGAATAATTATTCCAATGATAAAATTTTTATGATTTTAATTTTTTTTATTATTATTATTTAGACCCAGTAAGACAACATCGAGATGGTAATGAAAATCGAGCATAGATTTTTTTTTTTTAAAAAAAAAAAAAAAAAATGGACGATTGAATTGTTCCCAAAAAGGGACATTGCTTCAATTTACCGGGTTGTCTTCAACAGGCAAAAAATTAATAATTAATAATAGGGCAGCAAAAAAAATGCACACGACCAGGAATTGGACATAAAAAAAGAGGGGACATGCTATTTAAGGAAAAAAAATGTACATCGAATTTCATGTGGTTTATATATATATATATATTTTTAAAAAAAAAAACTTTTCTTATCACAAAATTTCTTATCAGTACAATAATTTTTATGAAAAAAATGATGATCATGGAACAATTTCTCTTTTAATATATTACAGATTTAATTTATATATATATATATAATATCGTTTTGTAAAATGTCAATAGATAAGAATTACTATAAATTACAAAATAAAAAAAAAAATTTAATTCATTAATTGTTCGTTTGAATGTTACTCTTTAGATGATTATTGTTGAGATAAATTTGATAATTTAGAAAACAAAGCTTGATGAAATTGGTCACCAAATTTGGGAGAGACAGCTAATAATAAAGCTTCCATGGTTTCAAAAGGTTTATTAATCCATTTTTTTGCACATTCCAAATCTTCATTAACAGTAACATCGACTGGAACTGCTTCTGTAATCTATTTAATGAGTTAAACATGAAAATATTTTTAATAAAAAATTTTAAATCAATAAAATAATAAAATTATAATTTTTATTATACATACAATATAACCTTCTTCAGCAATTGTAATGATTAATATAATATTTTCAAGTAGGGTAAGTTGAAATATAGAAGATTGATGAGCGTCAGGATTTAAACTTCTTGTAGGTAATATTTTGATTGAATTTGGTATAACACCATAATCATACTCTTTAAGTACGTTAGAAAGTTCTTGTTTAATAAATTTATTTGTTTCTGTAGTTGTTGCCATTATTACACAAAATATTGATGAACAAAGGAAAAGGTTGAAATATGGGGACTGTGTAAATCCCCATATATTGAAAACACGTGAGATTTTTGAGATTACAATCTGATGCCGAAAATTCGGTAATACCGAATTTTTGGGAAAATGTGAAAGTTAAAAATTTATACCATCATTAATTCCTCTATTGTATCACAATACCTGCAGTTTCGAAGATCGAGATATAAATAAAAAATAACATCACCATATTTTTGAGCTTGCGAGCGAGAAACTTTTGTTATTACGCATCAGTTAGGAGGCTCATCGTTACTCTCAAACTCTACTTTAAACTCAAGTTAATGATTTTATTCGGATGTATAATTTCATATTCTTCACTTTTTTTTACTAACTTCATAACTTCCCAAACTTTTGTTTATTATTTAAAAAGTTTTTAATCCTTTTTCCCTCGTACTGGGTAATCTCAACTTTTTAAAGCCTTTATAAACCTCATTTAACAATTTTATGGACAATGCCTCTATATGATAACAAACCTGTTGCTCCAGTAAATGAGCCAAAGTTGGACCCATCCAAACACAACAATAAACAAGTATGGGTGATCCCCTACAGTAACGAATTTTTTGTTACTTACAAGTATCTTTTTTCCTATAAAAACGTTAAAGGATTATTTTCACTACGCGGTGTTCGTTGTTTATATTCATAATTTAGTCAGTAAAATGCTTGTATTAGTTCATATTATTCCTTAACGTTATATTTCTTATTTTTAAATAGAGATTATCTGAATCGTATAGCTTTCTATAACAGGTCAGAATGGCAGTGTGCTGTAACTGGTAAACAAGGTCTCACATATGAAGAGGCTCTCGAGAATGAAAAGAAACATCGTGAGCAGCTCAAGAAATTTCCGGAAGGGTTGAAACAACACATTTTACAAATGGTACAATTTAGTAAGTGTTGTTCTTGCAAAGTATTTGTTATACAAGATTAAAGTTATTCCAAGAATTTATGCTAACTACCATCGTTTTTTTATAGGTACTGATCGTCTTGATGTCTTGGCCAATCAAATCTTTGATAAATACAACGAAGAGTTTACGCTTGGCGAACATGTAACTATCAAAGGCGAAAGTGAAGGGAAAAAGAGGTATGATAGTATGTTTCAAGTTTGTTATGAGATCCCTTGGATTTACTCGCGTTAAATCAACATACATATTTGTTATCTCTTTGTCATTCTAATAGGTCAAAAGGACAAGTTGTTGACGTAAAAACTTCTACCGTACCAGCTGCAAAAGGAATTAAAGGGAAAAGCTTTAGAACAAGGAAACAAGCTGCATTAACGCAAACCATATATCGCGTTCAAATATTAGACAAGCAGGGAAGTCCCATTCAACAAATAGTGAAGAACGGAAATCATAGATACGTGATCAAGACTTTTAACGGCGGTGATAATTTGAGGTTGGTAGTTAACGTTAAAAATAAGCTTCATTAGAATTTTGTATTTTGTTAAACTATATCTTGTTTCCTTACAGTCGTAATAAATTGACGTTCAATAAGACCCTGATCCGTTTGTTCATAAAACAGTCCACAACCAAAGATACCTATTTGCACGCTCCGTGGATAGTTAAAGAAAACTTGGCCAAGAAATATAAAGTGAACACTAAGCTACCTGATGATTTGAAGAAGGCAAAGAATGAAGCGCGAGAAAAGAGCAGGAAGCGAAAGGTAAAAGAAAATATAAATAATAAAAAAGTTCAAAATTTTTTGTATGAGAAGAAGGTTGATTAACAATTTCTATATTTTTCATATAATTTAGGGCAAAACAATACAAGAAGGTCCTTCTAAGAAAGCTAAAACGAGCAAAGGAATGAACACTAGGACTCGAGGTGCTAAACGAGAGGATAGCACTAGAGGTACGATATCTGCTAACACTACACGAGGTAAAAGAACGGCAGCATCAAAGAGACAAGCGACTATGAGTAAGGAACAGATGAAAAGAGCAGCTGAGAAGAAACGACAGAAAGAGCGCGAAAAAAAGAAGAGGGAAACTGAACGTAAGAGGGAGAAAGAACGTAAAGCAAAGGAGAGAGAAACTCAGAAGCGATTAAGAGCTGAGCAAAGGAAGAGTGAGTAATTTGTTAAAATGATTTCTTTTTAATTTATAATTTCCGTTACATTAATTAATTACCTTATCATTCATTATTAAATAGCAAAATATCCAATAGAAGATCTGGATGTACCTCTTGATAAAAACTTACTCTCAAAGAGACCTCCTATAGTCCTTGATTTCAAAATTCCCCAGAAGTACATCGGAACATTTTTGATGACTTGGAACTTTTTCACGGTGTTTGGGTTAGTAGATATCTATGTTCTATTGTAATGATTGGTTTAATATCACTGCCTCAGTATTTACCAAGATTTTCCTTTTATTTTAGAAAACCTCTAGGTGTTTCATTTTTCACGCTCGATGACCTTGAATTATCATTTTATCACAATATGATGCAACCTCGCTGTACTTTAGTGATTGAGATGCATGCGGCTTTGCTCAACGCGATTATCAGAGATCGTTTACAAGCTAGAAGTAAAAAACGTCAACCAGTTCCTCGCGTTGCTCCTGCACTTAGGGATCAGATTAAGACAGAAACAGGTCCAAACGACATGGATGTGGATGTAAATGGAAAGAGCGTTCTGGCGTCTCGAGATGCTCTTGAAAGACTTGTAAAGATTTGGGACAAAAAAGTTATATCCCCCAAAGATTCTCGAAAAGGATGGGAATGTGTATTAATAGGCTGCCTTTATCAGGTAAATATAAAAATATATTGAATTTAATTTATAACTGATATTTTGTTTTATTTTATCTATATACAGTTGGGAACACATGAATCAATCCCTAATGTGGATCGTATACTCTCTCATTTGGCCCCCATTGATAGCGGCAATGCACCCGAAGAAAATTTTGAAGGTTATTTCACTACCCTTGAGGTAGCTGATAAGTTGCAGATAATGGAATTTTTGATAAACAACGTTGCAAAAACCACCCTGATTCATGAACACATCGAAGGATGTGTTAACAAGCAAACAGAGTTGAATAAAGAAAAGAATGAAGTCCTCAAGGAAAGGAAGCACATGTAAGTGGTATAAGAAAACCATATTATTAATTAAGTTCTGTCATTAATGTTTCTCCTAACATGATAACAGCGCGAATTCCCTTATGGAAATCACCAAAGGAAACGTTTCTGTGCCACGTGTAAAAGGAAAATCGTCTACAGAATCCGTGAACGGTGAAGACAGTCTAGTTTCAAGACAGCTTAAGCTGGAGGAAGAAGATCTTGCATTACAAAAGAAAGTCAGCATCTATCTCCATCTTTTATACTCAACATCAATCTATCAGAATTGTTACTATAACTTATGTAATTTTCTTTATTCTTAAGGAGGAGCATATTGAAAAAGAAAAACGTAGATATGCATTACCACGGACAGGCCCAATGGGCCACGATAGATTTCATAACAAATATTATTATTTTGATGAAGCAGGACTAGTTGTTAATGAAAGATATGGTACCGGTAGAGTCTTAGTTCAGGTCCCTAGCACTAAAGAACTTGCAGACACATTAACTGAAGCTATGCGTCAAAAATATTACAAAAGAAAAAAAATGGAAGAAAGCTTTGGAACAGAAGAGACGCAATGGGGATATTATGAAGATCCCGAACAAGTATTTACACATTTTCGAATAAAAATGTTTTTACACGTGATATGAATGTTTTTAAACATCCTACGTTATTTTAGGTTGACGATTTGTTGAAATGGTTTAACGAAAAGGGTAAAAGAGAACTAATATTAAAAAAAGAAATAAGCTCCCGACTTCTCGAAATTAAATCGGGGATGGTTAAGCGAGTGCAGGTAAATGTGAATTAATTGACTATAATTATTTTGCCGATTAACTCGATCTTTACTAATGTATGTATGTCTTTGTAATCTTTTCATATTAGGATATAATTGCTTCACGTAAAACCGTTGAAGTGCGCCGAAGTAGACGCACTCAAGCGACAAAGGCATTGCTTTCGCAACAATCTTACATGAAGTGGACTAACAAGTTGTCTAAGTAAGACATAAAATCTTAAATATTATAAAACAAAAAATAAATAGATTTAGTAATAAATAATAAGAATAAAAAATAATTATTGGAAAAAATTAAGATTGTCCAGAAGTTAAAACCGGGTTGGGTTCGCTCAATCGTCCCCAGGCCTGTGTCATTACCTCATCGTGGTGCCTGGGTGAACAGGAACTTTAAATCCTGGCCAATGATGACACGACCATTTGAGTGTTTTTTTTTTTTTATTCAGTTAATTTATGAAAATGTTAAATTCTTACTTTTTCTCGTTTTTTTTTTAAAAAAAAAAAATAAAATAAAATAAAATAGGATATAAACAACAACACATATTTGAGGTATGCTTATATCTTAAATGGCTTATCATAATCCAAGTTACTCCTTAAAAATAATGATTTTCAATTATTTTCACATTCTTAAATACGCTAAATCATACATTATTTATTACATTCTTCTTCTGTTGCATTTTTACGTCTTTTATATTAATAAATAATTTAATAAAAATTTGTCTATTTGAAGATTGATATTCTTTCAATAAATTAATCAAAAGTTTAAAAGTTGAGTATAAATGAATTTATTTAAATTCTAAATTTAGAGTTGTTGAATTTCAATTCTTTCCAAACCAGTTACAACATTTGAAGAATTTGAAAGGAGATTAAGAACCAATTTAGCCGAATTTAGGACACAGTCATTTATGCTAACACCCCAATAACTCGCACCTGTAACGCTCAATTGATTGGGATAATACTTTTTAATTGCATAATGCAATTCTTCAAGTCTTGAATAGTGACCAACATAATATTGAGGTATACAATCCTTGTGTACATCAACGAGATAATAAAGTGGGGTAGAATAAATTCCAAGATGTTTTTCCAAAATTTCCATGGATTGTTGTAATAAGATTTCTTTACTTGGAAAATCATCATCTTCCGAAATGGAATTAAAATAATGACCACCAATCATTACGGTTAATTTTGTGTATGTTCTTGGAGGTTCATCTTGTAATGGCATAGCGTCTGAATCAAATACTACGCCGAGAATGCGATAAGGATTATTTGGTGTTGATTGTGGGATTAAATATCCAAATCCTTTAACCGGTAAAATCTTTGGATGATTGTATGCTATATTGACTGTTGCTACTGATACTGATGGATTATAATCTAAGTGAGGAAGTTTGCCTTTGTCGGGAAGAATATGGGAAAGTGCGCGTGATGTTATTGTACTGATTACGTGATCAGCTTCGTAAACTCCATCTTTTGTAAAAATCTAAAGGACGGACCGAGTTATTGATTTTTCTTTAATAAATGACATTAAAGTAATATAATTCACCTTTGTCTTTTTCCCGAATTCCAATTTAATTACTTGATTATCTGTTTTTAATTGTACATTTTCTCTATTTTTCAAATCATTTACAATGGCTGATGATAATTGTTCAATACCATCTTTAAAAGAAAAAAGACTAACATCTTTCATTATTGCCAAAAGTTCTTTATTTTCATCGTTAACAATTTTCAATAAATCCTTATCTTGTTGACATAAAAAATCTTCTTTATTGCCCATCAATAAACCTTTAATGACAGATCCATGCCTTTGTTCTAAATCGTATAGCCTTGTAAATACTGATTTGATGGAAAGCTTTTTTACGTCACCGGCATAAATACCATGTATAAGTGCACTGATCAATATATCTGACATGGATCTATCGAATCTTCTCGAAATAAATTCATGAATGGATTCATCCTTATGATTTTTTGAGGATTTAACGAACGGTTCTAGAAGGATTGACGATGCCGTTTTTAATAGGAATTTATTTATCAATACGGACTTTAGGCTTGAGTATATTGATGAACCTGGAAGCTTTACTAGTCTATCTGGATAATAAATATATCGATTTTTTGAAGCATCATCATTCTTTGTAACAGCATGTAAAGATGAAGTTAAATTCAATTTATTGATCTAAATTATATATTAATTTAAATATATATATAATTATAATTTAATATTTATTTTATATAAATCATTTATAATCATTCTATATAATAATAACCACAAACTACTTGCCATATCTAATACAACGGGACCTCCTATCCCATTTGGTCTCAATGTTCGTGGACCTTGTTCAAAAAGAACTTTATGTTCCCCGACTCTCTTACTTTTTATCCAGCCTCCAAACCTATTTGACCCTTCTAATATTGTGATTTTTGTTGTAGAAGGTACGTGACGAGATAGATACCATGCTGCACTTAATCCTGATATACCTCCCCCTAAAATTACAAAATTATTTGGTCTCGACATAATTATACTTTAAGAATAAGGAAATCTATATTTTTGATGATCATCGATCGTTACACATTGCCCGTAGAATTTTTTTTTATTTCGTTTCTCTTAAGAAGTTTGTGATGGAGATAATAAATGAATTCCTTGTATTTTTGAATACAACAATAACACCGCACCGATATCAATATATTATTCACGCATACCAAGATCAGAAATTCTTTTGAAATATATGATCCTTTCGAATTGCTTTAGAATTATTATTAGTATATTTTGTATATACAATGGCGCTCAAAAGTATTGCATCATCCGAATACAAATTGATTAAGAAGGCGCAGCGTTACCAAAATTATTTATATGACTCAGTCTATTCAATGGTATAAAAATTCGTTGCGTAATTCCAAAGGTTTTTCTATTGGATTTAAGTCAGGGGACTGTGCTGGCCAATCAAGAACTTTAACCCTATTGTCCTCAAACCATTGCTTAG